TTTTCAAAACGCTTGTATGAAGAAATGGAAAAATGTTGTCTCAAAAGCGAACGGCTCATGCACAGAATCATTGATAAACAGTTTAGCAGCATAATCATTTTTTTGGAACCATTTGTTTTGTACTATGTACATGTAATATATTTATATGGGTTTAATAACAGAGATATTTCATGCTAAAGCTCTGTCGAGAATCTACCATAAGCACCGTAATTTACTGTTTATAAATCTTACAAAAAATATTTCGTATGATATAACTTTAGACCCTTTAAGGGTAAGTCGACCGAATTAAGATCCCTGTACATAATCGCATGTTTGTTTCTCTTTTCATTACGCGCCAGCGATTAAAAGGACAACAGACAAAATTTAAAATCATTTTCTAAACATTGGTTTCCTTATTTTCAAGTTAACGCTGCATGCCTTCAGATGAGCCAAAATTTTACAAATTTTGATCACTTTATTTTGGTAATTTAGATTATTTTATTTTACTTTTTTAATTCTCACTTTTTTCACTTAACAATATTTCACTTTACAATAGTTTACTTTTAAACACATTTGCATACTTTCCATTAAAATCATCATGAATCTGGAGACATGCTGCTTTAATAATAACTACATGTCATTATTATTTCATTTTTCTCTTAATTACTAGGAAGGAACTAATCGTATTATATTTGCGTATAACGATAACGATCCTGCCAATGACAACTCGATTATATGTATCACGGAACAACACGGGGAACCAAGAGCGTGGCTTTACTCAGCCCGAACCCAGTAAATGGCAACTTGCCAGCGGACAGCCGACATTTCGACTTCCTTAACCAAAATGTGAGTCTCGTATAAAATCTAGTGACAAAAGGTAAAAAATAATAGGTTATACATTATTGTAAGGTCCGCTGTATTTTTGTTATAAAAAGATATTTTCATAGATATATGATACAGAAACTGATAAAAGATTAAGGTGTTTATAGGTATATTGAGCATCAATCTCAGAAGAAAACTTATGTGTGATATTCATTTCTACTTTTACTTATACTAAACAATTTTTCCATGTCTCGAACAATAAATCAAACTTATGTGAATTACTCTTATTTTTTATATATATAAAAATAAATATTTATTATCCGTATGATGTTATGCAGATTTATCTGTAAAGCAATATCTAAGATAAAAATACGTGTATTTTAGTTGATACAGAACGGTGTTGCTCCATTAGGGTTAATTCTAACGACAAATACATAAACACACTTCCGAACCAACAAGTACTGAGCAATGAGTGAACATATTTTTTTTGCTCCCGGCGGGTTTGTGAAGTTATTGCACAATAGACGGCAGCTCTTTTATAGTTGAAGACATGCAGCTTTAACATCGTAAACATTGTGACTTTGATGGATACATATTTCAGTTCATGGTCCCATCTGAACCTACAACGTATTGGTGCAGGGGTTTTAAGATGCCACCAATTGGAAAGCACCACATGATCAAGGTAAAAGAAACACGAACCTCTTGTATAAGAATGGATTTCTTTTTCTTATCAATATTTAAACAAAGACATGATGTATCGTATTGGCTTCTATATAATACCTATTCTTCTTCTTTCAAAATGCTCTTTTTTAGTAGTTTATTTTCATTACATGCATTTCCCCAGATATGAAACTCTTTCAAAACGAAGACTGAAGAGCTAACACATTATTCAAAAGTTTTAAAAAATCGAGCCTATTTGAGGTGGCCGCTTAATTAAATTAAGTGTTTTTATTTTATGTATTTCACAGTATGAACCAGTAATTACACCGGGGAATGAACTAAACGTACACCATATTGTAATATACCGGTGCAAAATTGATAATCCGAATTATTGGAACGGCAAAGGCAAGGCAATTTGTTATAACCAGAACAGAACACTTCCTGAATGTTCCAATATAGTCATCGCATGGGCGATCGGTGGAGAGGTTAAAAGATTTCTTGTTCCATAATTTCAGTTTTGACAAAATCTGCTGCTTATTATTCGTGGGTTAAATTTTCAATAGAAAAACGTCTAGTTGACAAGACTGTTTATGTTCCAGATCACAAAGACGCTCCTTTGATGTTTATATGATTTGTGACAAAGTGTCTCAAATCTTGAAACAAAATTTTTATACTGCATGTGCTATTTTCACTTTAAATTTTATATGCATAGTATGTACTTACACAGACTTACAATGATTATTTTAATTATGATGTCTTCAACTTTTTTTAAATAAAGCGCATCAAACGGTGATTTTAAATTTGACGTTCATTTTTCTTTAACTTATTTTGTGAATAAAATCTAATATGCTTTTGTCTGTTTCGATAGACTTTCGTATCACTATACTCCAAATTCTAGGCATGTTTGTTGTATAATACCACGTCGTGAATTAATATAAAATAACATCCCTATAATTTTATGTATGGTTTTCGATCTATTCTTTTTGCTCTGAGCAAGTTGTTTTCGATTATTTTTGACTATTTAAAATTCCAGCCATTTTATTTTCCCGATCACGTGGGTTTTTTCTATTGGGGGGCCGGAAGACGAAGTATTCTACATCATGGAGACGCATTACGATAATCCCACTAGACGCTCGGATATGATTGACGACTCTGGAATCCGTATAACACTTACACCAACCTTAAGGCAACATGAGGCTGGAATGTTGGAGTTGGGACACAGCGTCAACTACTTCCAAGTCATTCCGCCAGGCTTGAGTGACTTCGTAACAAAGTCATATTGTAGTGCCAACTGTTTGTCACGTGTAATGTATAGATTACAATTAGCTGTAAAGACTTTAATAATTTGTTTATTTCAATTGGGTCAAAATTTTTCATTATTTTTGAAGTAAAGTTCGTTCTTTTGTTGAGGCGTTTACATAAAATGTTAAAACTGAATGACCTAAGATATGGATAAATGACCTAAGATATGGATAAAAACCAAAAATGTTTAGGGTATGTGTTTTCTCTCTTTCATTCGGAATGAGTAAATAATAGTAATTAATAGTTATTAAAACAATATTCGATTCGATTTTTCGTAATATAATTTTCCTTGAAATTCCTATTTCGTCATATTTTGTCAATTTTACTGTAAAGAATATTGACCCCCAAAATGGCTGCCACTTAAATCAAGGGAGGCAAATATTGTAAAAATTCGAGAACTATCTGTAAGATACTACGTTCATCGACTTAAATATGGCATTTTAGTTGGTTTCGTCAATGCAAGCAATATTTATTATTTAACAATCTTTAATCAGGGGTTTACAGAGAGTAACTTGACGGAGTTCAAAATCATCGGGGCTCTTCAACATTCTCATCTGCTTGGCGTTGCTATGAAAACACGAACATTTCAGGAATGGCGTCGAGCTTTAAACCCATTATCACAGACCCTAACTACGACTTCCGACTTCCAAAGAAAAGTCCGAATGTTGCCGAAAGAAGTACCCGTATATCCAGTAAGCTTTAAAATTTTGATTGAATTTGCAATAACTTTAACAATCAATCATAACAGTGTTATTCCGGACTATGAGTTTGGTGTTCCGCGTACATGGCCTCTTATCCGAAGCATAAGGCCAGAGCCAATGCTTTTTTTTGATTGTCAAGGTATTAGTTTTTGAACAATAAAATTGCCGTAAATAAAACCCAGCCGCCGGTTTTCGCCTGGTTGACAGTTTAGTCATGTGAACGAAAGAAAATGTGATGTAAAACATGTGACTTTACGGGCTGATATCCCGAAGGCTATATAATTAAAATAAATCAGGAATAATGAATTAATGATAAGTTACGATTAATAAAGAAAAATCATGCTTTGCCATCTGTTTTATTAATTTATTTATTATATTCTATTCGATCGGGTTTAACGTCGCCGGAACACAGTATTATGCATCGTATGACGACTTTCCAGCTTAAGTGATGGAGAGAGATCTCAAAATACACCTCTGTGTACGAAACTAACTCTTGGTTAGGTCAGAAAGCACCAAGGTTTCGGCAAGCTTGTTGGAATAGCTTGCTGACATAAATTTACTCAAGGGTAAGACAAAAGTGGCCAATGAATGTAAACGGGCAATATAAATGAAATTGAATTATAAGAGTAAAGGTAATAGATATATTTCATTTTCAGGGGTGATAGTTTCCAGGTCGACTGTACTTACGCATTCGACGGGTCGCACACAGCAGCCACCACGGTTGGTTCAATCTTTTTATCTATTTCTTCTCCTTTAGCGATCGCAAATTTAAATGGCATATTATGCCTCAGAAAAAAAAATAAATGTTTACTACTTTATAAAGGGCAAACATGAAAATTTTATAATTCTTATGTAGGGGCTATGGAGAATGTTGGATGCTTGTTACATGAGAAAAAGTAGCGATAAATGTGAAACAATTTGTCGTAAGCAGCAAAATGCAGTAATGTTGACTTCCATACAAAAGAACTTATTCTCTATAACTCTGAATTATTGCCAGAACAAAAAGCACCACATACAAACATATAGTTTAAGGTAATTCGTCAATGAGTTACATTTTTGTATACTATTAAAGTTCACCAAAGTAATACAAATTTGAGAAATGAAAAATGAAAGCATTTTTGTGGCAAAATTGGCCTTTATTAAACACTACTACACCAGAACCTTGCTGAATTTGTCCGTCGAAACCTAAACAGACCCCTTAACTTTAGAATTATGCCCCCTTCCATCTTCAAGGCGATTTTTGAATTATGAATTTAATTCTTGACATTAAAGAGTTTCGTGTGTCGACCTCTTTGTCATATGTTTGTTTCGAATGCGGTATAATGCCATGTCCGTAAATCAAATGTAAATGTTTTTTTTAACCAGTAAATTGGTTTTTTTATTGGAATAAACATATTTTAAATCATCCGGCATTTTAATTATGTAAATGGTTTAGTCTTTGTTGTATTGTTACAGGGGTTTTGTCTACGAGAGAAGAAAAGTGTGCTTAAACATTTTCCTTACTACTTAACCGAAATTCAAGTTGAAAAACGTGTTTCTCGCCTAATCTATGACAATTTCCCGATTTGACTATACAGAGGTAAAAGAATTATCTATTTAAAAAATAATAAATTTTAATTGTAAATATGTTATGATTGTTAATAAGCGGCTTACATGTTTAATGAATTTCTTTATGACATATGTTTAATATTGCTAATAATATAGAGGGCGGCTTAATTTTGATTATTCACCCTGTGTGTCAAAAACTCAGTATGTATGTATTCTATTACAATTACATATTATTTAATAGTGTTTACTTGCTGTAATCAATAAGAATTATCACTTTACATAAAGTCAATGGTTTTTTTAGCACTTTTTTAAGTTTGGATCAAAATTGCTTAAAAACCAACAATATTTTTTTTAAATACCGTTTTTTTTTTATACCTCTCATAAGAATTGATTGTTTTGAGTCAGTTAATTTTTACGTAAAGGTGACTGATTTGTGCCATTCGTGTTTTAGTCCTCTGACCCCGCCAATCGAAAAGTCGAGAATTTACAAGCTAAAATGGCGGGATCGGGGTGCGAAAACACGCTTGTAAGCGGGAAAAACACAAATGCAACAAATCAGCCACCTTGTCGTCTGCTCATAATGCTTGATGTTTCTAAAAATATACTAGAACATGATTTATATTGGTTAAAAGTATAACATTGTTTTTCTTTTTAGTTGAATCATGTGATACACACCGTAGATTGGCAGAACAAGACCGTAGTGGATTTCTTCCGGTCGCACATTGACAAAAGCCAGGTGTATGAATATTGTCACGGAGTGCACCTTAAAGTAAGTCCTAATTCGTTCATAATTGCTTCATGATTTTACTACAATTATAATACCAGACAAGTTTTAACCAGTCCTTATTGTTGTAATATTTCGTATGACAAAGTAAAATATCAAAAATTCCTTTTACACATTGTCAAGTGAATCAGAACCAAGCAATTCCTGATTTGATCTGGTGTTTGACTCTTCAAAATATAATCGATAATACGTTAAGTCCTAATCCTAATGTGCTTTCATGGCCGAATGTTACCTGCCGCTGCATTTGAGTCATTTGTAACGGCTGTGTTCAAACCTAGAAACGACTATGAATTATTTTATGCAAGCAAATCATCTAGCCAGCCTAAGATGGTTCTACATATGTACCCACAAAATTGTTACATGACAAAGATGGTAAGTGACAACATCATCTATAACGTGTCATTGTGTTTGAAGCCCGAACACGTGCATGACCAAGTGGTTAACGCTTCAGACTAGTAATCTGAGGATCGCTAGCTGTGTGGATTCAAACCCGTCAGGGGCAAGCAATTGTTGCCTTTAACAAGAAGCTTAAAATTCATTGCTCAGTACTGGTTTGTTCAAGGAACGGATTGAATAGTGTATCGTTAAGCTTATAGGTTCTTATACAATCGTACTAAAAACAATTCTGTATTAACCAAGAACAAAACAAATAATTGAAAAATATTGTACTTTATGTTTTGTCTGCATATCTTATGATTTTTGTTTTTACAGCCACAAAAGCCTCGGGTGGTTTCCACCACCACAAACAGCACACCCATATGTTGCTACCGCACAGCCAGACTGTTCATAATTATCGAACAAGGACCGAGAAGATGCATATACAAAGTATTTGCATTCTACCTGGAAAATGTATATATAAAACTCAAGAACAATTCAACACACACACAAATAATCCTTAAAAATGTGTATTTGACAACGAATGTTTTGAAATAAATAATATGATAAAATTTATAAGAAAAAATAGAATTTTTATAATAAAAAATATTGTAATGTTTGTAAAATATTTGTTTATTTTTAATCTATGACTTGAATTGTGAGAACTCGAAAGATGCTAATTTTGCGCTTGCCAATGAATATGTTTGTTTGTGTTTTACGTCACACCGACACATTTATAGGTCATATGGCGACGTTCCAGCTTTACTGGTGGAGGAAGACCACAGGTGCCCTTCCGTGCATTATTTCAGGCACAAACGGGCACCTGAGTAGAACCACGGACGTTCCGTAAGCCAGTTTGGTAGGCCAATGAATAATTTATGTGCATGTACTGTGTTTTTTCATAAATTTGAAATATGAATAAATGAAAAAATAAATAAATGTCCATGCATCTCGTAAACCATTAAGACTTATTCATGTCACTCATTTGAAATCAACGGCGGTATCCTGATGCCGCCAGACGTGTCTGCTTCTTAACCCGGAGTTTATTGGTTCGAGTTCCTATTCATGACACGTCCATGTTTCCTTTCATGACATTTACACTGGTAAGACTCGGGAAGCGCACATAAGAACTAGTTTTACTATGAATCTAAAATGGAAAATAGTGAAACTAACTTAAAGCTATAACTTAAAAGAGTAAAGATAAGTTAGTGACTTGAATAATTTGTTTTGTTTTGTTTGCTTCACGGCGCATCAACACACTTAGGTCGTAATTATGTGCTGAAACAGGAACTTTTATTTTGGCTTACTTCGAGTGTTTCAAACTTAAAACAACACCAAGGGTAAAAACATTTAATCTTGTGGAGCTAGAGATGCATTGACTGCAGCAATTTGACCCCGTTTAGTAGCAACTAACGATAACGAAAGGATATCGAGTGGCTGCAATTCTAATGCATTGCTCTTAGAGACAATCCTCATCCACTAGGTTTTCATGATCTACATTATCATAATATAATTTATCTTATCTGTAGACATGACCTGTATGAGAAGTGTTACTGTACTTAATATTTATTGATAAAGCTTAATATTTAATAAGCAATAAAATAAAAAAACAGAGCGATCAAGTAATCACATGTGTCGCCTCATGATGGCCAATTTTTATGTTGGGACAAATTTTGTGACAGACGGACAGACAGACGGACAGTGCACAACTAGACTTGGTACTGATCATTCCTGTAAAGTTTGGATAAAACTGCACCCGTAGTTTATGATGAGTAGTCCGGACAAGCTTTTGCGTATCTGGCAACACACAGAAAAAACACCTTTTTATCAAAGGGCCATTACTCGGGCCAAAAATCATTCAACTAGAAAACACCCGTGCAAATATGCGCAAGGACTTGAGCTACAGATCAATCCTGTAAAGTTTCATTGAAATTGCATTAGTGGTAAAAGAGAAGTAGTCCGGACAAACTTTAAAATTAAAAATTATTAAAGGGTCATAACTTTAACAACAATCATTGAACCGGAAAAAATGCTGACAATTGCCAACAACCTAGACCCTTAAATACTTGATCATGTCCTGTAAAGTTTGGATGAAATTGCACCAGTAGTTTATGAGGAGTAGTCTGGACAATTTTTGTGACGGACGGACAGACAGACAGACGACGGAGAAGTGATCCCTATATGTCGCCACTACTCCGTAGAGGCAACACAAAAATTTTAAAACACAGTTAAAAAACCCTAAAAGGTTCCAAATGATTACAAATAGTCACAACTGATCTGTTATTGTACGTGTTTATGAAAAAATTGTTATACGCGGCATTTCTGAGACAAAGCTTTAGAACATGAATTACCAAGGAACTTTGAGCTTCAGTTGTTAACTGAAACTTTTACTGAAAGAAAATATCTTTAGAACATAAATTACCAAGGAACTTTGAGCTTCAGTTGTTAACTGAAACTTTTCCTGAAAGAAAATATTTTAAACAAACAGAGAGATTTTGTTATTTAATTTGTTTTAGTGTTTTCCCCGTTTTTTTTTTTGTATTGTTGGTTTTATAAAAGGGGGCGGTGTGGGTTTTTGGGGGGGGGTGCTAAAAAAAATAAATTTCCCCTTTTTGGGGGGTTTTTTTTTTTAAAAATAAAAAAGCAAAAAAAATACATTTTATATTATTTTTTTATCAAAATCTTTTTTATATGTAAACTTCAAATTGTTTGCAAAGATGAAGATGCTATCACGTTACGCTTATGTACTCGTATTTGAAGTAACATGTCCATCAGTCTGAACCAACTACCAGGTGCAGGTAGCCGCCGGGGGTACATAAGACTTCACCGGGTAGCCCGGGTGGTATAATTGTGGAGCTGGTTGCTGAAAGTAAGTATACATCTTTTTATTTATTTTTTAAGCAAGACTTTTGTCGTTTTTATTAGTAAATAACCATCATTTTATTTCCTTATCCTTATTTATCCAGACAATTACCATTTCACCATATCCGTTCTAGTGACGAACCAAGGCAATAAGGTATTCAATGAATTTGTCTTGCTAATTAATGAAAGTTAAGCACATTTCCTCCCAGGTTGATAAACCACGCTGATAAAAAAACAAAACATAATTATACATTTGTATTCTGAATAAAAACCATAAATTGCCGAAACTGAAAGTGTTCAGCTTTTGCTACCAGTAAACGCCAGATCGGCCTTAACATCCATGTAGTCCGACGAGGCTGTTTTCTCATTTTTATTTATTTATTTATTTATTTATTTATTTATTTATCTATTTATTATTTATTTATTTATTATTTAATTATTTATTCATTTATTTATGCATTAATTTATTTATATTGTATATATAGAAGATTTTTAAACTTTAAATGGACTGTTCCATTTATAAGGACTGTTCTATTAATCAAATTCAGCAGCTTCAAGTGTACATACTACTAAGCGAAACATCAATATCTCTAAATGTGTTCTTATTTATGAAAGGAAAAGTGTTATTCGTTTCCCAACAGAGACATACTATCTAAATAAAAGACGTCAGAAACGAATATATAATTTACTAATTACAAGCGTGACTCAAGGTCTAGTGGTTGAGTCATAGGTACAATCTGTCCAGAAACTATCACCCTGTAAGGCAATACAAGTTCCTTTAATAATAATAGTATTTTTTAATTATTATTATTATTATTATTATTATTATTATTATTATTATTATTATTATTATAAGTAGATGTAGTAGTAGTAGTAATATCATTATTCTTATTATTATCATTATTATCATCATCATCATCATCATAAAATGTAATTAATGTATAATGAATAATGATAATAATGATAATAATAGTAACATTTATTAGTTTATCAAAGTCTCATCAATGAATAAAGTTAAAATAAATATAAAATACAATATAAATGCACATTGCCAATCTTAAAGATTTACAAGAGACTAAAAGGTTGACTTACTATTTACATGTAAAATTCTAAAAATCTAAAATACCGTTGCTAATTTAAACCCAAGTTGTGAACATATGATGAAATGAATATATTGAAGTAAATTAAAGTACTGGGGTTACAAAGTACCTTAAACATTGCATAAGAAAATTAACATTGTAGTTTAATCAAATCCGGTTAAGATTATTATTAGCAAAAGTATTTTCTAAATAGTACATTTATATCTAAAAACACAAAAGAAAATTAAAAATAATGTCAGTTGCATAACATTAGTTTCCTTCTACTTAGTATGTTGAATCAGGCTGTGGCAGTTAAAAATACAATTTCTGCATTTAAGAGAATTTATCCTACTTTATCAATGTCTGATAGGGTATTAAAATCATTGTTTAGCATTCGTGCTTCTCGAATCAAGTCGTTACGAATGGAATCATATAGAGGGCTATATAATAATACATGTTTTTCATCCTCTACAATAGTTTGTCAGTGGAAGTCGGTGTTCCACTGGCAAACCATTGTAGCGCCCTGGCACTATACCGATTGGAGCTGTGCCATTGCGAAATTTACCTAAGACACCCCTATGTGACCTTTTAAAAACTAACTTACAATTATTTTTAGTTTCAAAGTTACTTTTGAATGTTTTATATAATCGTAATTTGTTTCTACCAGAACCATTTCGGCCTGAGTCTTGATTAACAGTACAGTTCTTATTATGAATGTAATCTTCCAGTTCTTAAGGCAATATAATATTAAACAACTCTTGTTTTTGTATCAGATTTTCAACATTGCAAAATCGTTCCACATTATACTTCTGAAACAACGTACATACCTTAAAATTCCAATTCTTACATCTGTTACCTGACTTTTTTGCCCATAAAAATATTTGTTTATTTAACCTACTTACATTCATATTACTTAATCTACTCCAATTTGCTAACAGGAGTTTCCAACAAAAATATATTATAGGTTTCCAACGATAATTCCACGAACTGCTGCATTTTGAGTATATCTTCGAACATTCAAAAAGTATCGTGCAGCTTTATTCTGCACAGCATTAATACGAGAGAATGTATCACAGCCCCAAACAGACGATGCATATAACAAACTTATAGTGACGTAACTTCATCCTCTGACGTAAAATGAATTTCATGAACTTTTTTATTATGAACTTTTATTTGTATATTTATTTTCTTTTTCTGAATAAGTTTGCACTTAACCTTCAATGACATTAGAAGTGACAAACTGTAACTCATCCAAGGTAACCATGTTAACTTTTCTTGTTAAAAGATGCTTTCATTTTATGTTTTAATCAGCGTGGCATTGCATTTTTGCGAACGTAATTCGAAGAAGAAAAAACGAATGAAAAAGTCGAATTATTGTACCACGATACAATTTGTGAATTCTCACGTTTTATTTATCAGAATACATGATGTCAAATAATAATTTCAAGCAACAATGTATGAAATTTGATAGTTTATATATATCAGAATATATGATAAAATTGATGATAAATATTGAAATGTTACGTGGAAAAACATGTTAGTATCGTTATGGTCTGACGTACCTTTGTCATGCACTCTTGACTGCAGTGACCCTGTGTTAGGAATTTTTCACACCCTGGTGGTATGATCTAAGAAGAGCTGACCCAATGACCAAATTGCATTATCCCGGCTTCGTGTTTCCGTAG